CATAATATTGATGATTCATTAATATTCAAATTTCCCTACTTACGAAAAATTATTGAAGGCTCTTCTTTCAAAAATAAAATCAAAGAAACAAAAACCTTCTCTTTTCAGTTTTTCTTTTATGTGTGTATATATATATATTTATACAATTGTTTGTATACGAATTAACTTTATTTAGTGTAGTAAAGATGGAGTATCGCTAGATAGTAAATGTAATAGAGTCAGTGTATTACACTACATCATTATAAAAAATATGGAATCTTACTGTTGCTGATGAATTAATTCTCAGAGATCGGGAGACAAAAGTGAATCTATCCTCTTAAACGTTAGTATCGCAGGTCAGGAAAATTGCTTCGAAAGACTTCTTATGCTTTGTTTTTTTTTTTTTTTGTATTACAATATTTAATTATTAAGATCATTAATATTTACATTTGTACATGATTCAATGCACTTCACTGTATAGGAAAAAAATTTTAACGGACAATTGTAAGTACATGCTTTATCATACGCGGGATATCCGAAATTATAGTTACCATCTCTCGTTAGGTCACGAATCAATAAAATCGTCCTTTTAACTTCGAAACACAATCATTTTTTCGCTTCGATTAATAGTCTTTTACGTCATCAAATTAGAATTTATTACAATCTCCTGCTCCTCCCTTGTATATAAATCGACGTACCTAATTACGATAGAAAATACGTTTCTGTATCTCGATGATTGTTACAGTTCTTTTCCCTTTTTTTAAATAAATACATTCGACGTGATCATCACGATAGCTGCCACTTTGCACTTTTCAAAATCCAATTATATGTGCGTTCATCGCACGTCATTCACGTTGCCCTTCGCCGAAGAAGAACTATGCTATTGTACAATTTGATCGCGGGGCCTAAACGCAATCCTAATAGCGATACCAAATCCTCTTGGGTCAACATTAAAAATGCCTCTCCATCGATATTCTGTGAGATAAAATCTAATTTTAAATACAGTTTGAATTTATTTAATAAATTTTTACATAAAAAATTGTTTTAACACTTACATGCTTTCTGAAGATATTTCCAATTTCTTTACAATTGGGAACACTCTGTATAAATTTGATAACCTCCTCGTTCGACCACCTTCGTGGATTCGTGTTCTGTTTCGCTACTACCCTGTTCAAAGCATTACTATGTTTCGCCCATATGTGCGGCGCATCTGGTAATGGATTGTATCCAGGATTGTACACAGACTGGTACAATTCTGTACGCAATTGTTTGTCTGGCATATTCGCGGCATAGGGTATGGTAGTTAACGATGCGTCTCCGAACGAATTTGAGAGAGAATACAACGGTTCTTCGGAAATCTGTCGTCTATAGAAATCCAGAAACATATTGAAATCAGTAATGAGTAAATAAATAAATTTATAAATGTACCAAAACAAAAGAAAACCGACAAACCTCTTCTTTCTCTTTCTCAAAAGTTCATCATCGTCTGTCTGGCCGTCACTGTGGTGATACTTCGATTTACTAGACCTGTAAATCGTGATTTGTTAACGTATAAAATAATTTGAACAGCGTTATAAAAATAATAACAGGTGCTGTAAAAATATATAACTTACTTCTCTGAGTTCTCAGACTTGTCATTTTTGTCAGAGAAATCCCCGTCTTCCTGTTTAATATCTTTCTCAGTCTTCATTAACCGTTCATCCGAGAACAACGGTTTCTCCAGCTTCTCAGACTTTTCCATTTTTATTTTATCAGTCTTTTCTAATTTTGGTCTGTCCAGTACATCGTCCTCAAAATCACAAGTCTCGTGTTTCAAATTAAGCCTGTCGGCCAGTTGCCTAACTTTATGAAGATTCTGAGGTGAATACGGGCAACCAGATGCAGAGTTGTGCGTTGCATATTTAGGCCCTTTTACATGTCCTATTCCCTTGCAACCATACGTTCCGCACTCTGGCCTATCATTTAAATTATCCGGAGCTATAGAAAATGACACGCTTTAATACCATTTTAAGATAGAAGCAAGGAAAAAATGGTTTTATGAATCTTACTTAATGGTGGTTCCAATGGATGTCCCGTTTTCATACACCAACCCATGGGATGTATGTCTGAAGAGTCATCGTCAACCCAATAAGCATGATTTTCTGGCCATCCGTCGAATCGTATCTTTAACCTATCGTAACACGAAAACTTAAATCAGTTTTACGACACTATTTATGTACAAAGTATATAAGTAAATTCGTATTTCACACACATATGATCCTTTACGTCTTCGACTGTCGCTACTCTTATTAATTGAGGCACACGTTTATCGACCGCTTCCAATTTCATTCCACGCTTGAATCCGCAATGCGGTCGTTGTTTGAAAGCTCTTGCTGGTGCGACCATAGAACGAGTTTCTCTAAGGTACGCGTCCCATGTAAACGATTTAGGATCTTTATAGTCTGAAACCATAAATTTACGTTTATCATTATATATCTTTTTATTAACAATTTTAAATCAAAACGTGAACAAATTCACTAACTATTTGGTGGTGTGAGACTATGACCATTATGGTGACACCATCCTACTGGATGGATATACGGTGAACTTGCATCCGCCCAATAATCGTACACCTCGTCCCAAGAATCGAAATGAACCAATATACGAGAATCCATTAAGCCTGCTATACTAGCTACACACACCAACGAAGAGTGTTTCCGATCCACTGCCTCTAATTTCATTCCTACGCGAAAGCCAGTTGGGCAAACCGACTGTAACAATAAAATGTACTTGTCAGTTTTATAGGACACTTTTTAAACAGATCAAGGAAATTAATCGATGCTTACATTTTTATTCGAAAATATATTTTTCGGTGCTGCAGTAGCTTTGCATATTTTTAGATACGCGTTCCAGTTGAAATTACTAGCTACATAACCCTTTGGCGGGTCCAATCGATGTCCGTTCTTCTCCGACCAACCAACAGGAAAAATATCCATACTGTCTGCATTTACCCAGAAGTCGTAATTTTCTGGATATCCATCGAAATGCAAACGTATTCGATACCCTATAATTAAACGATAAAATTCGTTCAATGAACTAAACAGGATTGATTGAATCTTAATTAGAAAATATTGAACAACTTACCTACTACCTCAACAACCGTAAGGACACAATAACGTGATGGATGTTCTGGATCTATTCCCTCTAGTTTCATTCCAACCTTGAAATGATTTTTAGCATACGGAAAAGGATCTTTGAATAATTTAACGGGCGCTGCTTTTGCCTTGCAATGTTCGAGATATTTGGACCATGAAAATCCGAGTTTTCCTGTCTGCCAAGGATACTACATACAGAGACATATTTATAAGCAGTATGTTTTGAGAAATGTAAATGCGAAGCTTGCTTCCACATATACCTTCGATTCATTAGTATCTCCTTGACTCTCATCGTCCAATCCTGTAATAGTGTCTTTTGTATCTTCATCTGTTTCAGACTTTACTTTATCCTGTACTTTATCTTCAGGCTTTTCCTCCATCTCTTTGGACTGTTGTTGTTCTTGCAATAATCTTTTGCGCTTACGTTTCGCGCGTAAATCTCTGAAAAAATTAACAAAACTGAAATTACGTTCAATTAAATGTCTACTAATTTTTCGAATCACATACTTCAAGTCTTTCTCTTTCCTCGTCGTAGGCTGTTTCTTAGCCTCTATTATTTCTGTACACGTTGGACTACATGATATAGGGCTTTCAAATTCTGCAGCTAATCCGTAACATCCACAGCCTTCGCAATGATACATCGTGTCTGCCGAAACAGCCCTGGATTTCCTATCGTCAGCTGCGGAAATAACAAACTCGTGACACGTGAAATTTTCCTTGAAAAATGTAATTGCGTGAATACTTACGTTTTTTCTCAGTGTTTACATTATTAACAGTTGCGGTGCTGGACTTCGACGAATTCTGAGTCGAACATACGTTTTCCTTATCACCGATACTGTCTTTACCTTGCTTATTATTTTCATCCTCGTCTACCACTTCCATAATACCAAATTCATTCATACAAAACTGCGAAATATACATGCCATTTTAAGCTATTAGAATCACTCACGAATTATTAACTTTACTATATTGTATTATATTACCTTTAATGTACTTCCTGGTAGTGTGCCAACACCATCTTTCCAATCTAAAACTTTGGCAGCATCGAAACTCGAATCATTCGGATGCACGTTACTTAAATGATCTTTCAAATCATCGTGATTACTAATTTTAGAGTCATTCTTATTGTCTAATATTGACTCAAGACCACAGCTTGTGCGCGTTTTAATTATTTCAATTTTTATGTCATCATCCATACTGGTATTGACAAGTTTTACAACTTTATCTTCACTAGGAACTACTTTAATCAAAGTAATGTCATCATCATTTTGCACCTTCTTATCCTTATCTTGCTCTGATTCTGGACTACTTAGTGCATAGCTTACATCAACCATACTCTCCTGAGGAGACTTCGAAAGGTTTTGTTTCTTCAAGCGTTTTTCACTGGATCCCCTTAATATGTTACTTATTGTTTTTTTTCTCTTCTCAGGCATACTAGTGTCATCTTTTTTTGGGATGGGAGTAATGACTGCAGAGTCTGGATTTTCTGTGATTTTTATACTATCTGTGGAATTGTTATTTCCTTTATTTGCATTTAGTAAACTCATTTTTGCAATGGGATGCAAAGGTGGTGGATGTGTAGCTGAATTTGTGGTCTTTGACTCCCGTAACACTGTAATACAAGGAGGAAATGACAGTCTACTTGAATTTAATAATGTAACAAAACATATATTCAAAGTACTTACCTGTAATAGTGCCTTTACTTTCACTATTAATTTGGCCATTGTTAATTTTTAAATTAAACATACTGGATTTAGTAGGTCCACTTTGTTGAGGAATACTGACTGGTAATAATAAATTTGCCATGTGTTTTGAAGGCTGGCTTTGAGATCCTGTAGTAGTACTTGTTGATGTTTGAGCTAATTGTGATATTACTGGTGCTATCACCAATTTTGGTTTAGCTATTTGAGTTGTTGTTAGAGCACCTGATAAGAGATATGCATAAATAAATTAATACTATCTGAATAAAAAGTATTGTATATTTCTTACAATTCTATTGTGAAAAAAAAATTAATTACCTGCTGGAATAACAACAGATTCACGTGATTTATTTGGCTTAATAAGTGTCCCAAGATATGCAAACGTGTGCTTGCCTGCTTGTGCATTAGTTTGATTTCCCTGAGAAGTACTTAGGGGCACAATCTGAGCAGTGGATGTGTTGGACTTTCTAAGCAATATATGTTTCTGACCTTGCGAAGTTGTTGTGGTACTGACAGTGTTAATTGGCCGATGAATTACAATATGCTGTTTATTTTGAGAAGTAGTAACCTGACTTGGCCCTTGTATAAATACTTTGTTTTGTCCAGTGACAAGCTGGAATAAAAAATAAAACAAACTATAAATTGATGATATAGAAGTAATTCATAAATTCCAAATAAACTGGTTAAGTCATCTTAATATTTAAACATAATTTAATCGTGCATTTTTTCATGATGAACTGTATAATTCAATGTATTTAATTTAGTTTCTTCAAGAGACATTTGAAATATTGTTAACATAATATGACAGAAAATAATACTGAATGGTTATGAATATACTTGATCTAATCGGTGCTTTGCTACTTGTTATCCACTATAATAAGCATGTTGAACAAATCTATATTTATTATTAAGATGTACACCACTCACTGTTACCACTTGCACATAGAATCTAATAAGATTTCATACTTTACATGTGTACATTCTGTATCAATTTACATATGACATAGTAAAACTATACATAACTGTACATTACATACTTGAAGTACCACAATTATTCTGGATCATTTTATATAATTATAGGTTACTATGACCTATATACATAACTATGCAGTTTATTGTACTATATAGTATATTATATAATTTTAATGAATTACCTGATTATTAACTGGGTTGATAATAGCGGCAAGTTGAGTAGCATTGGGTGAGACCAAAGTCTGATTTGTGGTTGTTGGTGGTGCAGAACGCAATTTACTCTGTTGGATGTATAATAAAGGCATAACGGGTGTTGTTGGATCATCTGACTGTGGAGTCTCTGTGCTACTATTCTCATCTATATCATCTACTACTATTTCCTCATCCATTCTGCTGAGAAAACACAGTGCAGTATACATTTTTCAGATGTAAGAAGAAATTTTCACTTTGTTCACTTATGAATTGTTTAATAATTACAGAAAAATTTTTAAGACATGAATCATTACTACATTTCCACAAATTCTACTATGTTTTATTTAAGCTGTATCACAAAATAATACAAATAAAAATATACAGTCAAAATATTTAAAAAATAAAGACAACTTAAGTGACTTAATAACATAAATTTTATTTATGTTCATAAACTTGATTTTTCTACACCTTAACAAAAACGAGATGGTTTATTAAACAAAACAATGTTGCATGTAAAATAACATTAATACGTGAAAGAATTCATACATAAGTGTATTGAAAAAACAAACATTAGAGGCAAAGTATTTTGCAAAGTTCTACAAACCTAACTGTGTATAATGTCTCCTATCACCAAAAACAGAATTGTCGCCAGTTACATAATTCGTGAATAATTGCAATTAATTTTATATGCACCGTTGTAAAAAGTTTAAGAAAATAAACATCAAACGAATATGCAGACTTTAATAACTAATGCCGTTGTATCACGTATGGCCATAACTGGGCGTTAAGAGATTCACTAACGCGATTTGAAACACGCGCCGAACCAATATTGCTAAGTAGAGTTACGTTATTAATTTTCATGCTTTCAAACCGATCGGTTGAGCGAGAATTTATTCCATGCATTCTATGAAATACCGGAAATCTTTGGGAATAAACAGTTTCAAGAATTATACCACAGATATTCACGTTCAAATACTTTTACAAATCGTCGGTCGCGCATCACGAATCATTCGAGGAACACAACGCGCACGCACACTTTTCACCGAAATAAGAGGATGTGTCAAACTATGAAAAACTGATCTTTCCTATGAAGATTTGTAACGCGACGTAAACAATTGATGCGCCACAAGTTAGGACCAAGCCAAATTGAAATTTTACAGGTTTTTAAACAATTATTTTCACATATCTTTTAAGCGTTCGAGCCTTCATTCTCCGTACGCTACAGCTACGTCCCCATAGGCTCCAACTGTAGTAGCGACGGCGCAACAGGCCACACGCTATTGGCTAATCGCTGTTACACCAAGGAACAAGTTCACAACGTCGACCAATCATAACAATCTCAATGCACTACTAACCGCATCCGATGTACAGATTTTTCTTGAGCACGAGTAATTTTGAAATCATTCAAGGATCATGCTTGTGCGATCGATAAGTATACTCGACGTATGAAAGGTTTTCAATCTTATGACCACTCGTATGCAAACCATTTTTGTCGCCGTGTACTTCGATCAATCTCCCGCGTAAATATCATGAGAAAAAAAGAACAATAAATTTGCGTCGTGCTGATCGATGCAAGTTGAATCAAAAGTTCTTAAAACGCAAATCTCGTTATTTATCGTTGTTTAAGGAATATTTTTATTAAATTTTAAGAATAAAAATTCGACGCAGTACTAGTAATTTAAGAAGAAAACACGATATGGAACGTATTCGATTCCAGTTTAGTTCGATTCAAGTATGGCTAGACATTAAATTTTATCATTTCGTTTTCGTAGTCCTTGGTTTGAACCAATGGCAGCTAGTATTCGCGTGACGTCGTATTGTTATCGTGGCTGGATTGGTTGAACAAGCAGTACGTGTACTCGGGAAAAGGATTCTGTCTTTGAAACAGCAATTTTGACGAGCTTGGTAAAATTAGTAAATTTGACGATCAATATTTTCTACTGTGTACCCATACACAAAACTATCATTTATATCAACTCGTGAAAAATGCTAATTGGGGTACCCATTTTGCACACCAAGCAACCGCTCAAGTTTCAATTTCGATATACTTCTGCATTAACCTCTAAAGTATAAAAGCTAACGTTCTTAAACCTCGATACATTATCGCTTTGTATAATAAACTTACAACTACTATCAGATTATCATTATATTACTTGAACTTCATATATCTCGTTTAAAAGGGATAAAAATCAGTAATAAACAATTGTTACTATAAAATTTATTGCAATTTTTA